AATAACTGATTTAAAAGTAAGAAAATAATCGATTTGGGTAGGTAATCCGTAGAACCGATCAATTTAGTTTAATTGTACGAATTTGACTTGTTTAAAAAGTCAATTACACATTTTTCTGAGCTGAATGGTCCAATTATATTTTTGTATGTAGTTGATGAGCAATTTGAAACATTTTTCTCATATTTATACATGCACCTCTTTTTTTTTTTTTACATGGTAAAGAAGGGTTGCCAACTAATGGGAAATTAAATAAGTTGGAGGAAGATTCATTGTACATATAAATGTGGTGAAACCATGGGTTTTCTGAGATTTGAATTAAAGCACACATGGAAAGAGATGGAGTAGATAAACATAAACATTAAAAAGGACCACCCACTGCTCATACCCTCAAATAACTACTTGTGCTTTATTACATTCCGTCAGTACCCTCCCCCCCAACCTAGTCCGGTTGGCATCCACTTACTCGTCCAATCATGTCCAATGAGGTCTCAGGGGCCATACCAGGTTTCCATCAAATAATCATTATATTCTTCAAACCTTAATTTCCAAACCTCAACCTAAGATTATTACATTAATCTCAATTAGGTGGTACAAACCCTTTCGGTTGTTTGGTTAGAAGGAAAGAATTAGAGGGAAAAAGAATTGTAATTCGATTGGAAAAGAATAAGATGTGAATAAAGTAGGAATTCAAATTATAGTATTTGGTATGCAGATGAGAATAAAATTACAGTGTTTGATATACATAATAAGACTGAAAATTGAGTGGGAATAAGTGATACAATGATTGAAATGCCCCTATATAATAATAATAATAATAATAATAATAATAATAATAATAATAATAATAATAATAATAATAATTTGCCATATGAAACCACTTCCTGTGGTTTCTGATAGAATTCATACCCCTATAGAAGATTTTTTTTAATAAAAAAGACGAAGCTATAATATATAGGACAATAGATTCAAAGTTTCTATCAAGAATGGATGAACCAGTAAACATAAGAGAAGAAAAATATAAGAGGGGCAAAATTGTCTTTACACTTTCTTTTTTCCTCCATTAATCGTCCGAATTACAATTCTTTGGTGGGTTGGGGTTGGGGTTGGGGGTGGGGGAAGCGTATGAATTCTAATTTAGCATTTGGAAGTAATTGTAATTCCCTCTACCCAAACGGCATAATTGTGGCTCCCATTGAATTGCAATTTAACTACAGCTAAACTACTTCCAATCAGGTACTTAACCAGTTGACTAATTAAAAATAAAAAAAAAAAGTTATAAAGTTTTGCTTTACATATTAACACTCACAGGATGTAGGCAGGATTTGATTGATTTTTACTTGGAAAAAAGATATATGGAATTAACCCTATTGTAAGCATCGGTGTATAAACACCTTTTGAAACTTATAAGTTGTGATTTACCATTTCCACCAACTTCTAGAGTGAGACTTTAGGATTGGACAAATTTTAACCAATGAACATTTAGTATACTAAAAATGAATTTGTATATTAGTGATTCATGGTATAATGATGGTTAGGATTGTGATCCAATTCTTTTATTTAAAAAATTAAAAAAAAAAAAAAAAAAGGATTAGGTGGGTATGGAAGAGTGATAATGTTTTTTTTTTTTTTATAAGTCATATTTTTCAATTTCACCCGATTGTACCATGTGCCCCTTGAACCCGTTCCCAAACTCATGAGAAGGTAAATCAAATCTGTCTAGTTTTATGAGACACACCAAAATTGTGAAACAACTAGAATAATGACAGTGAGATTAGATTAATTCAATGACTTCAATTGCATTATTTCTATTGAACTCTTAGCTATTCAGTTGAATTTTTGCAATTTGAGTGGTGAAATATTCAATCACTCAAATAATATTTTGTCCAAGCATCATCGTTCCAATAACTTTTCCAAATAGGGTCTTATAATTTAAACTATAGCCCAACAAGTATTCGTGTGTATATATCACTATTAGAAATTATGGAATTTCCGACCACCTGAAAGTGATCTTAAATCAAGTCGAAAAAACCTTGTTCCGACCACTTTTGGTATCCGGAAAAACCTTCGTTGCTATTTTCGACCACTTTTTGCTTTCAACTTGATTTAGGATCACTTTCAGGTGGTCGGAAATTTCATAATTTTCAGTAGTATATATATATATATATATATATATATATATATATATATATATATATATTATTTATGCAACTTGAAACACAACTTTATCCACAAAGTGTAGTAAAAGAGTTTGGTTTGAATTTTGCCTTAATATTTCAGTTTCTGCACTACTAGATAATGGTTGCATTTTACGAAGTTAAGCACACAAGTCACAAGTACCTCATTGGGACATCAAAAAAAATGTAAAGAATCTTAAACCATCCAACTCCAGACAAAATAGACTCCCTCTCATATAGTAGTGCTAAGCTGGCAACAGCTCTAGGGCTTTCCAACTCAAGTTGCCCCCTTACCCAACCATAGTTAAAAGGGGGGTTTAGGGTCACAAGCATTATGCCCTATCTTTTATAGCTTCCCATCTCCATTCCCCACTATATATACTTCCCACTTTAAACCCCCATTTCCTCACACATTCAAAAACCAGAGCCAAGAACCACAAAGCCTCTCATCTCTCTACATATTTCTCACCAACCCATAATTAACTGTGGTGAAATGGGGACTTTGAGGATTGGGTGCTCAAAGATGTTGTTGGTAATGTTTGCTACAATCTTGATGGGTTGTTGCATGGTTTGTCATGGTGGGAATTTCTACCAAGACTTTGACTTGACTTGGGGGGGCAACCGGGCCAAGATTTTTGGGAAAGGGCAGCTCCTTTCCTTGTCTCTAGACAGAGTTTCTGGGTCTGGGTTTCAGTCCAAGAAAGAGTATCTGTTTGGCAGGATTGATATGCAGCTCAAGCTTGTTGCTGGCAACTCTGCTGGCACTGTCACAGCATACTATGTATGTATTTTACATTTTTACCTTCCCTCTAACTATTATATTCTAAAAACAAAATTATACCCTGAATTCTTGCTGTCAACTATGGATAACATAGACTGGTTTACTTTCTTGTGGTCCTTTAACGATTATGAATCCTTGCTGAACTGATCAGCTATATATGGGTACTAAGCTGGTTTACGTTCTTGTCGTCTTTTGACGGCTAGAGCCATAAGACAGGGATACATACACTCGAAAGGGGTTGTGGGGTTTTGCTCGTGATCCAAGAAAAATTAAACCTTGAATTGGTAACTGAATTGATGTTTTCTTGATGAGCAGCTATCTTCACAAGGGCCAACCCATGATGAAATTGATTTTGAGTTCTTGGGGAATGTGACTGGCCAACCTTACATTCTCCACACTAATGTCTTCACTCAAGGGAAAGGTGGCAGGGAGCAACAGTTCTACCTGTGGTTTGACCCTACCAAGAACTTCCACACATACTCCATCATTTGGAAGCCCCAACACATCATGTAAGCTAAGCTAGCAATTAATTAATTAACTCAACGAGCACATCTCGCAATTTACATCCTTTCACAATTCCAGGACATGGGTTGAAAACCCTCAGGTTTACGGTTTTAAACCTATATAATATAATGCAAAATAATTATGGTTTTGCAGTTTCTTGGTGGATAACACCCCCATAAGAGTATTCAAGAATGGTGAATCAATTGGAGTGGCATTCCCCAAGAAGCAGCCTATGAAGATATACTCAAGCCTGTGGAATGCTGATGACTGGGCCACAAGGGGAGGCTTAGTGAAGACTGATTGGTCCCATGCACCCTTCACAGCATATTACAGAAACTTCAATGCCCAGACATTTACAGCTTCCCAGTTTAATGATGGGAAATGGCAGAGCCAAGAGCTTGATGCCTATGGCAGAAGAAGGCTCAGATGGGTTCAGAAGAACTTCATGATTTACAATTACTGCACTGATTATAAACGTTTTCCTCAGGGCTTCCCTGCAGAGTGCAGACATTTCTGATGGTTCCTCATCAAAAGAAAAACACAAAAGGGATGTATAATTGGGCTGGAGATTGTATCATAATTTGTGTTTGAAATTCTTTTGTTTTTGTTCCTAGTTTTACATATACTACTTGCTCTTGTAATAAAAATGGGATGCTTTGTACTTTGCCACTTTGGGGCCCCTTCTGTGTATCTATGATCTAAATAGTTGGTTTAAATATTTTTTTTTTATACATTAAGTTTTTCAACTAATGTTAGACTAATAAGTTCTCAGAACCCCTGCCCAAGAATCGATAGAGAAGATAAATCGCGAGTTGCTAAGTAATCTCCCAGTTAGTCTCTGTCGTTGACTCCACGCACAACATATTCATTTCCACACTTTCACCAACTTGAAAAGTCCAATCTCCAACTTAAGGAGTCTAAGAACCTAAACTATAATTTGGGGAGTTCTAATTCCAAGACGTTGGTGAGAATCGAATCCCCACCCTATCGCTAGAGTGGTGACTTAAAGTCAGCCTGAGTAAGTTGAGAAAGTAATTATGAACAGATACTGCATTGTAACAAAGTCGATAGCACTAAAAAAAAAAAAAAAAAAAAAAAAGTCAGCTTGATTTAAATATTTGCAATTGCCTCTCGACTTCACACTGGCCCACTAGATTTATTATTCTTTTCTTTCATTTTAACATTTTAATGGAGATACAAATTTGTGTAGTACAAAAGTTGAGCAAAGATTGACACAGTTCAATATTAATAACAAAAACCAGTCAGACAACATATATTTGAAAGATTTGTTACAGTTTGCTGTGTATTAATCATATCACATATTTCAACACAATGCACAAACAGATAGTAGAAAAAAAAAATTAAAATTAAAATAGTGTTCCTTTGAAATACAAATTACAAATCAACCTCAATAGTCAATACCATGCATCATAAAGATATAGATGTCACAAAGAGCTAAGTATGTAGTTTCTCAATTGAACAATTGAAGCTGCTTCTAATACCAATTAGCATTTTCATCTTGTTTCTGATGATCTGTACACGCAAATAAATAAACTCACATAGAAGCTCAGGAATTGCGGTTCCTCTTTCTTTTGTTATCTGTTGTGTTCTTGGCGCGGGTTGACCTATCTGTTGTTGAGACTGAAAACGTCACCCTTGGCCGCTGCAAAGGCTGTAAATGATACACATGGATAAGCAAGTAAGAAACTCATGCTTGCATGATCAACTAAAGAAATTTAAGCTTTAAAATGTGACTGGATAATTTAAAGAGGGATATTTTAGAACAAGCATTGGTACTAACTGTTATTCTGCAATGATAATGGAGCTCATCATTCATTTGGACGAGTCGTTCTTTTGCTAGTTGTTCTGCTTGCAGTGCTTTAGTGCGTGCTTCTTTAACCTGAAGGCAATGGAATTATAAGAGATGAGATCACCTAAACGTTATCAGATTCATAGACATAAGATAACATCAACCTCAACTTTCTCCCTTGAGAGAGAGAGAGAGAGAGAGAGAGAGAGAACTTAGAAAAAATGGGGAATTGTAAATTTAGCAAGTATCTAGTATCTCTGTACAAGTACCAGCAACTTTGATCACAGATGAAGAAAAATTGTTGGCAAACCATTGTGTAGCCCAGCTACAATTATATAGGCTAGAAGTTCAAAAAATTATGTCCTCCAACTGTTGTCACTTGAAATTTGAAAACATAAACTAAAAGATTTGGATCAGTTGGTTATAGAATAACCATAAATACAAGATCCTCTCTCTCCCTTTCTCTCAACAAGAAACAAATCATATTTGCAGCATCTCAAACTATGATGAAACATATGAAGGAGAAAAATAGTTAAATGTACAGTGACCATTAAGTAGTTATTGAGAGGGAATGCAATCATAAATATAGCATGAAACAGGAAGACCTACAATGGTAGGAGATAGTTTCATGTAGCTTTACCTGAGTTGGTTCAAATGCAGCAAGATTATTCTTTTTAGATGCAGCATTCTCCAGAAACTTCCGAATGTCTGATAATTCCTTGATCAACTCAAGAGCAACTTCTTCAGCATCCTGCATCTGATGTTTTGAAAATTCAAATGCTCTTTCAGCATGCAAGCGGAATGACGTGCAATTCAGACAATCACACCGTCCTCTGCACCCTCTTGGGTTTCTCCTCAATACTCCTTTCATGGTACCGTCAGTTTGAGTAACTGAATGGTTTGAAGCCTGAACCTCAGATGACACTTTGTTGATAGTAACTGTTTGAATCAGAGCTCCATTGTTGATATAGTTTTCCTCAAAATGCTTAGACTGTAGGGTTGCTAACTTGCAGTCCTTAATCAAAGTTTCAGCATGACCAACAGTATGAACTACTGGGAGACTGGATTCTTCAATAGGTGTTGAGCTTTCATCTGAAGTGCTCTCTTTAACTAGATTACCACTGCCTTCTTGACAATCTGCCTCCATCCACACAGAAGACTCATTTAGAAGAGTTTCAGTAGGAACAACAGTATGAATTCCCGCAAAAGTAGAGGTGTTGGAATGCACGTCATCTGAAACATCTCTTTCATCCACATGTTTGCTATCTTCATGGTTAACAGCTTGGATGTCCCCTACTTCACAATTAGCTGCTTCAAGCTGTGAAATTTCTGGCATTTTGGGTGAAGATTCAGCATTAGCTATAGGACTTGAGGGAACTTCACCATTTTCCTTTCTATCATTGTTTGCAAGATCTGGCTCTAACTGTTTGGTAGTATCTGACAAAATATGTTCTACTTGAGGTGTCCCATCCATCTCAGGACTGTATGAAATAATGGGCTCAGTAATGTCTTCCGATGGTGCAAGAATTGGCTTTTCTATGGCTGAATCACTAGTAGAACTTGACATGGCAACCGATAAATTTGAAGTATGGACTTCAGATGCATTGTTAGCTGTAGATGCTTGTGAGTTCGGTGGATTAGAATCTTTTGATTCTAAAATATTTGGCTGGTCTTTGTTATCTACAAGAAATTAGCATCACAAGTTTAGCTTGACAGCTAAAATGTTGAGATGGCTAGTTACATCTATATGGATAGTAATGTTATCTATGTGTATTAGAATGAAGGACATAAAGAACAAGAGGATTACCTTTTGCAACATCCATCAGATATGGAAGCAGTCGTCTATACATAACTGAGTTTGGAGGTTTGAGAACCTTCTTTCTAGAACAAGGATTCAGAACCTATACAGACCAAACCATCTTAAATTAGGACTCATAGAAAGAGAGGTGAAGGAGTGGAGTGTGACTGCTATTCCCCAAAAATCTTTACCCAAGATAAAATAAGGCCTCCCTAAGCTCTAATGAAAGTAAAGTGAACTTCAAATTGAACTGAAATTCACAGGATGTCACTTACCATTTTGGTTTTCCAACTACTGCCATTTCTCTCAGAAGGATTCTGATAAGACTGCTTCGAGCTGAAGGCATTATTGCTTCTGCACCTTCCATTTGAGGGATTACCAAGAACATTATTCTCAATCTGCTGAGCACTTTGATCTGTGCTGGCCTTATAGTCATTTAAGTCAAATTTACTGAAGATGTCAGGATCAGGTGGTGTCATTGAAATGTCATCTCCCATTACATCATCAATTCCATTCAGAATGTTATCACGCATTGTGTCAACACTATGCAATCCACTATTGACCTCGGTTTGAGCCAAGTGAAGATTGCCACAGTTTTTCTCTGTTTGTTTGCACGGAGAGCTGATACCAAGATTGTCAATTTCTCCTCTTGCTAAAGGTTTACTATCATCTGAATCTGCAACCGTAGGTTCATTTTTAGAAGCATTGCAGTTGCTATTGTCTGGTGAAGAATTAGGCTTCACATTGTTCATATTCTGAACTTCGGGATTTAATCCTGTATCATCAAACTCAATTTCAGAAGCACCTGAATAATAGACAGATGTCAGCACTATTTGATAGCCTTCAAATTTACACACAATACTAATTATTAGTTCTATTATCCAATAATAATCAGTAAGGGCCAGAAAATTACAAGAGTCATCTTTTTCTAAGCTCATCAGAAATGGCAGCAATCTTCTATAGCTGAATGAGCTTGAAGTTTTAAATACCCTCCTTAACAAGCCTGGCTTCACAACCTACACAATATTTTTTTTTTCATTAGCATCTGGCCACCATCCTCTCATCATTAGTTCAAATATACATACAAATAACTTATAAAGAATGACACTGCTACTCTCTAACTAAAGATCAGTTCTAATAATTTAAAACAGCCAAAAGCCACAGTTAAAAAGGAACATATATAGTTCTCAAGGTGAAATTCAATCAAAAGGAAAATTCAATACCGCTTTATTTGTAGTGCTTGAATCATATGGGCGAATAAACTTGACTGGAGGCTGACCAGTTTCACGGTTTTCAATTGCTTCTTTTGATGCTACCTTAATGGGTTCTTCATCGGCTCCAACTTTCCTATCGAAACCATGGTTTTCTAAGCCCAGATCAGCTTCGCCTTTTTCCAAATCCCGTTTTAGATCCTCCAATACCATTCCAATCATCTCCGCACAGCCATTTCCAGAAGAATCGACACTCGCGCTTTTCAAACCCAGCTCCGAACTTTCGCCATTTTGTTCAATTACAGAGCTCGTAGAGAAAACCCTCCGGACTCGGAGGTTGCGTGAGCCGTCGTTGACATCCAAAAGAGCTTCTTCAGGCTGCTGCAAATAAGAGTTTTTGCGCTTCTTGGGAGTTGGATAGAGCTTTTGGAAATTTTGGTAGCTGGGACTGGATCTAGTGGTGTCTAATCTGACCCGACCCGAACGATTTTGATGGGAATAGGTCTGGGACTTGCTGCGAGTGAACATGCCTTCCTTTAATGGCTGTGGTTTGCTGCTCTTGAGGTCTTGCCTTTCCATGAATGGCTTTCTCGATCGTTCCCAAGCTTGGAGATTAGGGTTTGAAGAACGAGAATGGAGGGAAATGCATTGTGGAATTGGCGCGAGGGAGGCCCTGTAAGATTTATAGAGTCTACTTTCTGGCGGGAAATATTTAGCGCTTCTTTTATTTATTTATTTTAAATCTTAGGGATCGTTTGGAATTATTATTTGAAATAAGGTTCAAATTCGTCACTGAATATAGTCTGAAAATATAATTTTGCCACTGAACAAAAAATATATATATAATTAGACCACCAAACACTCCAAATATATGTAATTTCATCTTATAACAAGTTATCATTCAATTCATCAGGTTACCTACTTACTTGAGAGGTGAGTTGGCAAACTTAGCATTTTAAATAATTTTAGTAATAAATTTTAAAAATTAAATTAAAAATTAATTTTTTTTTTAAAAGGCCAAGGTGGTGTGGGCAAAGGACATCTCTCACGCCACCCCCGGCCCCTTCTCCCTTCCTTCGTCTCCACCATAAACGAAGGAGGAGGGTGGAACAGGGTGGCTGGCGGCTACCCTAGTGTTTTTTTTTTTTTTTAATTTATTATTAAAAATAATTTTAAAATGTCAACTCATCATCCATGTAAGTTAAGGAATTTTAATATTGCTATGTTGGGTAAACAAGCCTGAAGACTCATTCAGCAGCATGACTCTCTCCAGTCTAGAATATATAAAGCAAAATATTTCCCCGAAATTCATTCTTTGAAGCTCAACTTAGCAGTAATGCTTCTTTTATCTGGCGTAGTACCCTTGAATCCCAAGATGTCCTCAAAAGGGGTTATATATGGAGGGTTGGTGATGGAATGTCTATTAGGGTATCGGATGATCCATGGCTACTTAACAATAATTCACCTTTTATTCAATCTCAAATGACAGATCATTTTGCAGATATTAAGGTGGCTGCCCTCATCAACATCCCTACTTCTACTTGGGATCATTCTATGTTGGCGAATCTTTTCTCTCAAGAGGATATTGATCTGATCAGGAATATACCCATAGCTGAATCCTAGGGATGACAATTTCAATCCGTCCCGCGAATATCCACCCGAATACATCCTGTATGGATCGATTTTTTTTCTTTTTTTTTTTGGTGACAGTCGGGGTGGGTCTTAAAAAAGTAAACCCGCAGTTGGTCGGGTTGGCTTCGAATTTTATGTACAAAACTCGCATAGAACCCCATCCGACCCACCATGTAGTTATTTATAAAAAAATTTATAATTTCATGTAAATTTTTACTATTTTTATATCTAAACTACTAAGTTTATTTTTAAAAATTAACAATTTAGTTATTATATTTAAATATTTATATTATTTTATGTTTTATATAACTAATGAATTTTATTATTTTATTATGTGTAGGTAATTTAAATATTATTTAAAAAATAATAATAAGATTATAAGTGGTGGGGGCACCTGCACTCGGTAGGGGTGGGGGTGGATTTTGAAAAAGTCCACCCGATGCGAGTTGGGGTTAGGGGTGGAGTGGGTAGATAAAATATAAGGTGGGTCGAGTGATGGATGTAGCACTCCCCGATCCACACTCGACTCATTGTCAATCGTTATACCCTACAACACGGCGCGCGTAGCACTGTGCGCCGCACGCCTCCCAAAACGACGTCGTTTTGGGAGGCGCGGTAGGAAGTTGCTGTGATTATGTATATTTGTTCATACAATTATGTACATTTTTTATACAATTATGTACATTCTTTTTATACAATTATGTACATCCGAATCAGGAAATTTTTGTGTATTATGTTAAGAGTTTATGTGTATTATGTTAAAAGTTCATGTTTATTATGTATTAGAGAAAATTTCAATTTTTTGGTCCACTGACTATTGTAGTTGTGTTAATTGCGACACTTGACTTTCAAAAATGTTAATTTAGTACTTTGACTATGTAATTCTTATCAATTTTGGTCACGCCGACCAAATTACCGGCCAAATGTGATCAGAAAATTTTAACTCATTAAATAAAAGGGGCAAAATTGTCATTTCATGTTATTCAAAACTCCTCCTAGCTTCGTTCTCCTCTTCTCCAACCTCCTTCTCGCTTCTTCTCCGATCTCTTTCTTCTCTTCGCTGTCGGCCTCCAATTCCTCTCCTGGTCCAGACCCTAATGCACCAGGCACTTCTAAAGGTTTTTTTTATTTTATTTTATTTTATTTTATTTGATTCAAGTTCTAGCTTCCTGTTGATATTCATGTGTCTTTTCATGGTTTATATCCTCAGGAGATGGATCTAAGTCCTTCCCTCTTCAGTTTGGGTCGTTAAATCCTAGTTTCATGAATGGGATGCAGGTAAGTTCGACTTTCTTGAGCCATGAAGCTTGATATTTATAAATTTCATTTTCTCTTTAGGAATTGAGGTCTTTTTTACACCATGTTGATCTTTAGGTTCCTGCTCGAACAAGCTCAACACCGCCAAACTTGGATGAGCAGAAACGTAGCTAGGTTAGCAGTTCTTTGCTTTGTTTTGTAGTGAATAAAATATATAATCTGCCTCTCATACAGATTGCTGATTATTACTTAATTATTATCAACATGCATATAGGATATAGCCTGTTGTTTTCTTTGTTTTGTGTTAATTACATGATCATACTTAAGGTTGCTAGTTTGGCTCTGATTTTCCTTTTTATTTCTTCTCTTCAATATTTTTTTTCTTTTTTCGAGAAGGCTCGCCTCAACTCTTTTCTGATGACTCTTGCCTCGTCAAAGGCGTCCACGACGATCTCGACTCGAGATCACAAGCTCATCATTTTTTTCTCCTTCTTTGCTTCTTCTTCCGGGAACGCAAGTACAGTCACGTGAAAGTCGATTCCGTCTGTGGAGTCACGGCATCTGCACTTCTGGCCTTGTGCTCGCCGTCTGGTTATTCAAAACGACGTCGCTTGTGTTCGGCACGAGATCGGAGAACACGGTGGCGGGCGGTTGAGGCAGAGCGGACTGGAGCTTGGAGGAGGCGACAATGGTGATGATGATGTGCATGGACGTCATAACCCAAATGACCAAGAACGAGGTCGTCACCAACTTGTTGCGGTGACCAGTTCATGAAGGACGGGTTTGGGACCCAAGTGACGGTGAGCTTTGCCGCTGGGTGAAAGTCGGAAATATCGGAGAGTGAATATTTGAGTTTGCAGAGAATATCGAAGAATGAGCTTTGCCGCTGACGACATTTTGAGGTGCAGAGAATATTTGGAGAATGTTTGATATGTGCCTGAGATCTGGCTAAACATGACACCACTATAATTTCTTCTGTTTAATTGTACGTTGTAATTGAATAAGATGCAACTTCTGTCTCAGTTTGTGTGTTGAATAAGATGTAATTAGCGAAGAGGAGAAGGAGATTGGAGAAGAAGCGAGAAGGAGGTTGGAGAAGAGGAGAACGAAGCCAGAAGGAGTTTTGAATAACATGAAATGACGCTTTTGCCCCTTTTATTTAATGAGTTAATTTTCCGGTCATATTTGGCCGGTAATTTGGCCGGCGTGATCAAAATTGATAAGAATTGCATAGTCAAGGTACACAATTAACATTTTTAAAAGTCAAGTGTTGCAATTAACACAACTCTAATAGTCAGTGGACCAAAATTGAAATTTTCTCTTATGTATTATGTTAGATTATGTGTATTATATTTTTAAAAAGAGTATGTATATTTTGTTATATAATTATGTACATTCATGTATACAATTATGTGTATTCTAGTATAACATTATGTACATTTTTGAACATGTTTTTTTTTTTAAAGAAAACTTAACTGCCAAACACTGGGGCGGGAAATTTCAAAAAAATAAAAAATAAAAAATTGAAACGATGTCGTTTTGCATCTGGGCGCACAATGCAACGCACGCCGTGGTGCAGGATATAAATTGCCGTCATTCCTACTGAATCCAGACTACCTGACAGAATTATTTGGATGGATACTGATAATGGAGATTATTCAGTTCGTAACTGCTACAAAACCCTCGCTGAAAATCATCTTGTGCAGTCCCCCACCTGGACAAAAGCTTGGAAGTTGCACTTGCCACCTAAATCCAAGACATTCTTTTGGCAAGTTTTCTCATCTGTTCTTCCTACCTCTGATCTACTTCGTACTAACCATGTTCAGGTCCCAGACATTTGTGAACTTTGTACCAGTGAGGATGAATATGCTCTCCATTTATTTGCAAAGTTTTCCCTCTTGCTAGACACTGCTGGAATATCACTGCAGCTGAGGTACCCACCATCACAATTGTGACTCTTTTCTTGAATGGATTGATCTCATTTTTAGCACTAATACAAAAGTTGACTTATGCCTAATCATCACTATTTGCTGGAAAATATGAGAGGCTAGGAATGAGAAGATCTAGAACCACAAAGTCTTATCGGCTAATTACATCTGTCAAAGTGCTCAAACTTTTCTCCATGAATGGACTGCTGCCAATCAAGACAATAACCATTCCTCTTTTCCCTCTAGTGTTGCTGCTAATTGGTCAAAGCCCCCGATAGCGGGGACGGGGACCCGTTTCCTGTCAACTTCTAGTCAAATTGTTAAATAATTTTAAATTTTAATAGTAAAAATTTTAAAATATAAGTTCTAATTTCAAATTTTAAAAAATTATATATATATATATATATATATATATATATATATATATATATATATATATATATATATATATATATTCGGAGACGGGGCGGGATGGGGAGGGTTGTCCCCGTCCCCATACCCGACAGGGAATCACAAATGTTCACCGTCTCCGTTCTCGTCCCCATTCCTCGAAAATCTTCCCCATCCTCGTCTCTTTCCGGGCGGAGATCGGGGATCCCTGTCGGGGACGGGGCACATTGCCATTCCTAGTCCTGGTTGGGTCTGGTGCTGTTCACTCAACCAACGTACCTACTGCTCCAAGTCTGAGAACATATGTTGCGCCAGTGATTAAGACTAACGCCAGTGTGATGACTTCGGTGGTCTCGTCGGCGCATGTGTTTCGCCCGGCTAGCTTGGCTGTTCGACGGAGAAACTAGAAATGCCATAGGCCTAAGGCATGTTAGCTCTTGTCATAGGGTTATATAATTTGGGGGAAAACTCAATTTGGGAGGAAAGAGATGTCAACATAGAAGGAACAAAGAAAATACTTGTGATAGGACACATTTTCCCTCCCACTTAACACCCTTTTGACAGAAAAGCTAACAGAGGACCATGGGTGATTATTTAAAAAAACTAGTAGGACGTCTACTGGTCATTTTAAAGTTGAGGGACCACAGGTGGTAATACCCCAATACTCGGAGGACTATTGGAGGTATTAACTCATTTTAAAATTGTTAAAACTTGTGTAGTATTCGATGTAGACTTTTAAAAACTCTTTAATAGTCTACCAGTATTCCATTCAAACTCTTCAAGAGTCTTTAAAGGTATGTTGTATTAATGTATTCGATTCAGACTTTTATAAAATCTTTAAAAGTCTATTAGTACTAAAACATTTAATAACTTTTATAGCATCTATTAGGATAATATTTATGTAGATCGACTTTTCTTTCACTAATCTAAGGGGGGTGTATTCAATCATGACTTTCATAGAGTTTTAAAGACTTTTATGAACTTTAAAAGTTTGGGGGTATTCAATTAAACTTTTAGAGAGTCTTTAAAAGTCATGCGGTATTCAATCAAGATTTTTAAAGAGTCTTTAAAAGTCGTGTGGTATTCGATTAAGACTTTTAGAGAGTCTTTAAAAGTCACGTGGTATTCAAAAAGTTGTGAACTTTTGTAAACTTTTTAATTTTAAGACTTTTGTAGACTTTTTCTTCTCAAATATAAATAGTTGAAATCCAACCATCAACCCCCAGATTTCAAAATTTTCTTTCTAACAACTTTGAATGTTTTCTCTCTCTATTTAAACTCTATTTTTCTCCCAATTTAAACTTTATAAACCTATTTAAATTTAATAAAATTATTTTTTTCTTCATTATCTTATATTTCCCTCATACCTAAACTCTACCAATTTTTCTCTCTCTCCTAAACTTTACAATCTTCCTCTAAAAATTCGAAATAATATTATTTTTACTTCATTATTGCTTGTTTATATTGATTTTTATTTTTTCTATGAATTTTTTATCCCTAACTTTCTCTAATTCTCCCTAAATACATGTAGAAAATAATTTTTTCATCATCAAATTTTAGTATATGTGTCAGAATATTCATATAAATACTTATATATTTTGATTTTGATTTTTTTTATTTTTATATTCGTAATATATATTTTTTCTTTTTTCTTTTTTAACAATAAGTTACTACGAATAGCGAACTACTGTTCGCAACAATAATTTGGGGTTGCAAACAGTAACAACTTGTTGTTGTTCGCAGTCTCAAATTGCTATTGCAAATAATAGTTCTTGTGTGATGTCTAGCAATATATCAAGTGTAATTTTATACAAATATATATATATATATATATATATATATATATATATATATATATATATATATATATATATATTAGATTTTTTTTATGCAACTTGTAATTATATTTTTAAATATTTTATTTGATCAATTCTTTTATTATAAATTTTATTATTCAATATTGTTATGAATTTCTAATGAAATAATTTTTTTTGATGTTGATTAATAATATATATAAGTAATTAGCATATAAGTCTCAACATACTATGGATAAAAATAATAATGTTAAGAATGTTGATGTGGGTGAAGAACTACATAATAAGAAAATTGTATGATATATTATAAATGTTTTGTAAGAAAATTATAAATGATAAGAATCTAAATCATTGAAAGTTTGTAAGGATGTATTCAATTTAGAATTTCAATGACTTTTGTAGACTTTTTAAAATAAAAAGTTGATAAAAGCCTATGAATGTTTTTTATATAGACTTTTATAGAGTCTTATAAAGTTTTAAAAAATTTTGAACGACTCTATGAAAATCAATCAAAGTTTATTAAAATCTATCATTTTAAAAGTCTTTAAAACTCTACAAAAGTCATTATTGAATACACCCCCTAAATAGATGAAATCAAACTCTCAAACCCCAAACTTTTCTATTGCTAAGTAGTAAGTAGATGATAGTATATGTAGTAGAGTAATTTTACATGTATTCTTATTTTATACTCCGGCCTATTTTCTACTCTCTATGATGTGGCATGTTTTGATTATTTAATATAATTTGGAGGTTATGATTGTTATCCATTTTTATTTTTTACTCCAATAAAATTTGAACACAAATGAAAATAAGAGCATGTTTTTAGAGTTCTATATATAGTATAACTCATAATATAATTTGGGTGGTTGATGTAATCATGTGTAGTTAGTGGAAATTAGTGTTTTGGGACCGACCAATTAGTAGTGTTCTAGTTTTCTCAGACATCCAACTAACCTCATCACTAACGTAATTATTCTTGTCTTTCCTTAGTGCTGGACATATATAAACACCCAGAAGTCCAGAACCGCTTTCAAAAAAAAAAAAAAAAAAAAAAAAAAAAAACACCCAGAACCTACTTTGCTTAAAATTACACCTGACACCACACATTATATTTCATCACCATCCAAGAATGGAGGGCTGCCATGTTCTTCTGGTCATCTTCCCGGCGCAAGGCCACATTAATCCCTCTTTACAATTTGCTAAACGTCTTGTCAATCTGGGAGCTAAGGTCACCTTATCAACAGGCTTCTCCGCTATGAATCGCATGTCGAGCCGGCCGGAAATACAAGGCCTAGACTTCGCCCCCTTCTCCGACGGCTACGATGCCGGATTAGAACCCGCCGACTTAAAGGACTTCTGGGCTTCCATGAAGACCAGAGGCTCCGACGCCGTGGCCAAGCTTATCACGGCCAAGAAGGAGGAAGGCAGGCCCTTCACCCGCCTTATCTACACCTCAATCATGTCTTGGGCCGGGGTGGTGGCGCGTGGCCTTCACGTTCCGGTGACGTTGCTCTGGACCCAACCCGCCACGGTTTTGGATATTTACTACCATTACTTCACGGAGTATGGGGATTTGTTCAGGAATTGTTCTGGGAATCAAGTGGTGGAGGTTCCAGGAGTGCCGGCTCTGGGTGTCAGAGATTTTCCTTCTTTTCTGTTCTCCACTGAAACAAATGTTAATTATGATTTGGATTGGGCTATAGAAGCCATGAGAGACCAGATTGAGGATATCAACGGTGAAGAGAACCCCAAAGTTCTAGTGAACACTTTTGATGCCTTGGAGTTTGATGCTTTGAGGGCCATAAAGAAGGTGAGAATGGTTGGGATTGGGCCTTTGATTCCTTCTGCGTATTTGGATGGGGAAGACCCTTCTGATACTGCGTTTGGGGGCGACTTGAGACAAAACTCAAACGACTATGTTGAATGGTTAGATTCCCAGCCCAAGAGTTCAGTGGTTTACTTAGCATTTGGTAGCTACGCTGATGTTCCAAACACAATGCTAGAAGAGATTGCGCAAGGGCTTGTGAAGAGTAAGATGCCATTTTTGTGGGTTTTGAGAGAGACATCCAAGGGCGAAAAGCCCGAAGAAAAGTTGAGGTGCAAAGAGGAGTTGGAGGCGCAAGGGAAGATAGTGCGTTGGTGTGCACAAGTAGAAGTTCTGCAACACCCGTCTATCGGGTGTTTCCTGACTCACTGCGGGTGGAATTCAACGCTGGAAAGTCTGGCTTCAGGAGTGCCGCTTGTGGCATGTCCGCTATGGAACGACCAGTTCCCGAATGCTAAACTCATTCAAGATGTTTGGAAGTTGGGGGTGAGAGTGAGTGCTAATGAAGAAGGGGTTGTCAAAGCTGATGAGTATAAGAGGTGCATAGAGTGTGTAATGGGAGGAGGGGAAAAGGGAGAGGAATTGAGAAATAATGCTAAAAAATGGAAAGAATTGGCTAAGGGTGCAATGAAGGATGATGGATCCTCATATTTGAATCTCAAGGCATATATGGATGAAATGCTTAGCAGTCCATAAATTAGTATTGAAATTAATCTTTCAAGTAGTTTTGTTTTGGAATATACCGATATTTTTACTTTTTAAATTAATCAAATTTTTATTTTGAAATATCTTTACTTCTTACAAGTGAAAACATTGTAGAAATTTTATATTAAATTTAGTTAAATTAATAGGTAAGGACTAATATAAGATGTTAATTTGGAGTTGATGTGAGTGTAATGTAAGTTGTGTATATAGAATGAGACTTTTAGATAAGGTTGTGTTGTCCTCTCAGAATAGTGTGTGGGTAAAGAGTATAAAACAAGTTAAGCACTAGTTATATGCCAATCATGTAGAAGCTAATAACAAAGCTAAGGTAGAAGAAGTAAGAAAATTTACAAGGTGACAAGTATGCAAAATAAAGATAGGAGTCGTACTATGCCAAACTTTGACAAGATGGTACAAGGTGTCTTCACTGTCTTGGGATGGGACCATGCAATGACTTAGCATGGTCAGGGAAGATGCTGAGAGATCTAAACATAATCTAACTATACAGAGAATAATCTACGAGAAACTTAACTTGTAGTAGTGGAAGCGGAAGCACTGTAGATCTCCAGCCATGGTTGATATCCTGTTTGTATTGCCTCTTGAACAGTAGATCTGTAGAATATGGTTAGCCGTTTTGTCTCATACTTGACTCAGAACCCTAGATGATGTATTGGTATTTTCTGAGCAGTATGAGTACCATATTAAATCATATATCTTGTATCCCATCAATACAAGCTTTATATAGGCACATTGGTGGAATACAGACTTAAACCTAAAGGTCCAACCCAACCAATTACTTAATGGGCCTAGTCCACTTGCACCACATAAGTAAGACCCATAATATATAATATATATTATACGGGAAAGTCTTACAGTCTCCCACTTGGTGCAGGTACTAGAACAATTCTCATCAAAGAACAAAACAAACGAATCATAGTAATATGTCCTCTACTGAATAAGTGAGTAATATCTCCTATGATCACATGCATTTTGATTCCCTAACTTGAATCCTTTATGAACAAACCCAACGTTTATTCTTGGTACCTTAAGGGATGTTTCTCAAAATAAAATATATATATGCGCAACTTAAGAGAGGGAACTATCCAAATTGTACAAAAGAGTACACTTTATGATCTCTAAGATCCTTAAAAGCATGCCTTAAGTAGAGATCTCTTAATGTTAGCATAATGCTAAATATATTCCATGACTTCTTTATAAGTTAACATAAGCACTACCTCCAACGGCTAAGAGCTTGGAGTTGACACGTCTGTCACTCCCACTCATCAAAATAGCCAAAAGATAGTTTAGTCATAGAAGCATTCCAACAACTTAGACAACCAACCAAAACTCTAAGTCCACAAATTTGGAATGTTAAACATACACCATAACCTCCCAAATAATCTCAAGGTCCATTTTAAAATGATCTGGACATTATGAGTCTTACTTTTATATCTCTCAAAATTGTCTTGAGCCTTACAAACCAAAATGGCAAGGATCAATTTTGATGAAACTAAAGACTCTACTAAATGCAAAAGAATTTATTAAATAACAGTGCACCACAAGTTAAATGTTTTGTTCTAATAAACTCATTAATATTGTTACAACATTTTCATAAATATGTTGCACAACCAATATGAATTTATATGAACAAATACAAGATTAATACTTGTGGAATCTTTTGGACTTATTGTTTGACATACAATCCAATATGGGATGTATAAAGCCAATTAAATCTAAAATCTTTAGTGGAGTATCTTAATGATCACTTTTCTAAATGATCACTCCCACTGATTAAGATATTCTTTAGTAAAATTAATGATATACATACTCATAATTGATTTGACCAACTAATTGATGAAGATATAATTCCCCACCATTAGTTGGGCATACTAAATAATCAATTTTGGTTCCAATTGAAGTCCAACTAAATAATGAAGATATTAATTTCCCACTATAGTTGGACATACTGAAGTAATAAAATACACTTTCTAAAACCATTTTTGGAATTTGGCTTGAAAGATACATTTTATTATTATTAGAATTCAAAAGAGGTATGTCAAATCACGTAACTTACTACATTTAGTCCGAAGAACCGAGCAAGAATCGTGGATCAATTAATAAAAGTGGCTAAATTTTGAGAAGTAACTAAATACATGTTTTGCCAATGCAACCCATGAAACTTAGAATTATAATTGAACTAAATTTATTATAAATTCTAAGAAATTGTGATAAAAATATTATTTAGTAGGTTGTGGGATTTATTGACATAAAACTTGCATGTAGGCTAAAGTTTTAATTCTATTAAATCCAATTAAACCCTTATGATAATATTTTATCTCAATTACTAAATGGACAGAAGAACCTAGTGACATAAAACTTACCTGTGGGCTAAAGTTTTACTCAATTAGATCCAACTGAAATTTTATGATGAAACAATTATCAAATTAAATAAGTTGAAGAATCAAGTGACATAAAACTTGCCTGTAGGCTAAAGTTTTACTTAATAAGATTCATTACAACTATTATGATAAAAACTTAAGAAATAATGTTCCTTTCCTTAATCCGTGTGGATAGATTAAGAAATATGATATAAAGTTTACATCATAAAATTAAACTTTGTGATAGAGATGGGAATTATTACAAATAACTATAAAGTAAATAAAATTGATTTATTTCTATCACCACTGATAAAACTACTAAACTACATTCCGATACATAATTGCCTGTGGGCTAAATTATGACCGTAGTTCAGTATTTCATCCTGATTAACTATACAAATATAACGAAATTGCCTGTGGGCTAAATTCCATCATATTACATACAATTAATCACAAATGATATGTCCAAAACTGTATGTGATCAAGATAAACTGCTTAATATATAATTTTAACTGATTAAGGATGCTGTGGCTACTCCCCTACTCATTAAAATTATAAGATCACTAGACAATTACCATTGCCATCTTTATGTAATTTAAACCTTAGACAATTAGTAAATTAAAGATGCTATAGCTACTCTTTAATTAATCTAAAATTGTAATCACTTGGCAAAAAGGGGAATTTAAAGCCTAACAAAAAAATTAAACCAACACATGATAGACAATTATTAGGTATACACCCAGAAAAGTTGGTCGAGACGAAGCTCGGTTAAATACCAACTCATTAGACAGAGTAGCGTCGCAAGGGGACTAGTAGCAACAAGGCTTTTAAGCCAGGGCCATAGAACTAGTATTCCTCCCCAAGAAACTTCCCTAAGTCATGCGTTTTCATGTTTGAAGTAAAATCGTTTGGAAGATCTAAATATTGTAAATTCACATATGGATAAGGCTTTAAATTGATAAACTAAATTAACGGATTAAACGTGCTTAAATTTAGACACTACCGCAACTAAAGTAGGAACTAATATAATTCCATCCTAAATTTATGCATTTCTAAAGACATAATAAGACAAATTTGCATAATTTAAAACAGAATATTATGCTTAGGACAAATATGCATAAAAATAAACATTAAACTCATATATTCCAGACAAATTGCATAACCTAAAGCAATTTACAATATGAGATTTCAATAATTTTTAAATTTTAAATTGTAAGCCCATGACAATATGTTTTAATGCATAAAGATCAAATTTATGAGAAATAACTGAATTCACAAATTATAACAATATCAAACCAAAAAGGGTATGTTGTCATTTGTAAATCAAAATCTCACAAAACATAATTGCATAATTAAACTCAATATTATGCACTTAATGTGATCAAATGCATAAAACAATCTAAATAGTATGAAATCACACCAAATATTAATTTGTTCATACTTAATCAAATATGGGCAAAAAAACATTAATCATAATTCAAAGACTGAATGAATTATGGAATAAATGTACAGTAATGGCAATAGTTAGTTGCCTTAAAAAAAAATTTCTTATATTAAGCATTGTCACATAAACATAATTGGAAATAATTTAGTATTCATAAATAAACCATAATAATAATGTTATCATTAAAATATTAATGGTAATAAATAACCTTATAATCACCATTAATATTTGGTAATAACAACCAAAGTAGGGTAATATACCTTCTTTAATGTTTCCATTTTTCTTAAGGAAATAAAATGTGGCAATTTCAAAATTATAGCAGGCAATTCACTATAACTATAGCACTAATTACCAAAAATAAATAATGATAAAATTTAATGACTAACCTTAATGATGCAAACTGCATCTCCCATAGTGCTATAATTCTCCCATCTTCATCGTCAGTAACCTCAATGCAACGTCACGTAACAATAAACACTAAATAGGTAATCTTTCCAAACATAATAGATTACCAAGAAATAATAATTACTATGAAAGTTAATAAATGAGATTAGCCACTAAACTTAATAATAGTAATTAATAATGCCAAATTTAACTTAATAAATGACAAAACTATAATTAAGGGGATACTGAATGTCAATCTCATATTACCACATAATAATTAATCAAGACTATAATGTCTTTTAGGGAGACTGAAGTTATGGTAATAATCAAATTACCATGTAAAGACAATATACCAACTATATTGCTTACTATATTATTAAAGGAATTAATATTATTATTAAGGCCCTGAAAACTATTGATAGATTAAAAAATATAATCAACTTAAACAATAGTTGTAATTCTTAAAGGCCAAAATAACAATTATAATCCTTAAATTCTTAATGGCTTATAAATAGACCCAAGATAATAATTGTAACACTTAATCACTCAAATTAGACCCATAAACTCAATGGTCCAAGTGAGTTATGACATGGATATAAAATGGTCTAGTATTGAAATATATCCAAACATAATATTATTACCAACCATTAACAAAATATGGTAGTCGGTAATAATTAAGACTTAGTGAACATGTTAAGCATAATAATCAATATTATTACCATAATAAACATGTTATAGGTCAAACTAAAATAGTTATAATTAATATTAAAATATCACCCAATAATGATGGGATCCAAACTTTAATGACCCAATATAGGTTCCAAATAGCTTGTTCAAAATAGGTTTTAAAATCCCAAGTAAAATATAGGACTAAAAT